CAGGGAAACAGTATGCTTTCTCCTCTGGCACAGCTACTTATTCCCTTGTGTGCTATGGTCCTGCTAGACAACAACCCTCTTCCAGTCCAGCCTACCACTTAAGACGAAGACATTCTCATTCTCTAGGGAGGTGGGAGAATGCTCTAGGGAGGTGGAAGACACAGATTTGAGTTGTTTAGATTTCCTTCACCTCCCAAATGCTTCCTTTGAGACTTTCTATGAGCCCTACATAATTTTAACAAATGAGAAGCAGACAGGCTAGAAGGTTTGAATCTAGATTCAAACAGCTCTCTCCAAAGCTCCTATCCTAAGGGACTGAAACGTGTTTTTTTCACCTGGTATCTCCCTCCCAAGGCTGCAAAATGAGATACAAATCTAAGCTCAGTCAGCTCCAAAGGTGCTGGAGTTCGCAAGGAGAAATACACAGATCAGACATGCCTGTTACAAGGCGGCTCACAGGCTCAGCACAGGTAGTTAAACTGATCTCCCTCTGCATGGGGTACAGCTGCTCCTCAGTAGGCTGGGTTACAGGCTGACAGCTTCTAGAGTCTCTGCTTGTATCCCCAAGCTTCTCCAGAGGGCTTATTCACGCAAGCTGATTAACAGCAGTGTGCTGTTCTCCATTAGCTCCTGTCTAGCTTACATCTCTTAAATCCTTGTTAGAACAGCAGAGAGCACCTTCTGATTTCCCATATCTCAAGCATTTACAGCATACAGACCTTCTCCCTACAGTTTCACCAAAGAATACAACACATTAACACTGCCTGTCCTTCTGACCTAGTCCACAAAAAGTACAGTGCTCTGGCAACTCCCTCTCACTCCCTGGCATCTTCCTCTCAAATCCCTGCAAGTTCTATCAGGGTTCAGCAAAGACAGGAAAATCCACTGTGTAAGACATCCTCCCAATTGACCAAGAGGTCATTTGTATTTGGGATTTCCTCTGTTGCACATGACTTATGTGAAGCTACTGTGTATTCTGAATGGTCAAGGTACTAACTTCTTTCACTGAGCAGTCTTTATGGAATATAAAATGCATTTGCAGCCTTCTGTTGTTGAGGGGTTTGTGAATACAGGAGCTCAGAAAATTAAGTGAAGTTAAATCTTCAAAGCCCACTTCACAAGTAAGAGAAGCTTTCAGAGCTCAGAGAACAAGGTCACTGAACAAACTATTTACAGTGAGCAACAACAAGACAGTGAACAAATGCCTTATTTGACCTGTATTATTCTTCCACTCAACAAAACCTATCATGGCAGGAATGTCAGCAGAGCCACAGACAGAGGTACACGTGGCTTCATGGTTTGAACAAGACACAGAGCGATGTGTCTTGGATCAGTATCTCCCACATCAAGTCCAAAGCATAAGGCAAATCTCCTAGCCCATACTTCCAAGGAAGATATATAACAGCAGTGCTTCTGTGTCACAGGGATGCCGTCAAGTTTGTTGCTATCTAAACCACCAACTTAATCAGATGAAGATTGTCAAAAACAAGCATCCCGTCAGAACACATTCTGTGAGCCACTACATTGATCTATGACCAACAGCAACAGCAAAATTCACTTGACCCAGTGCAAACCCAGTTAATCTTTTCCCAGTTTGTATCTGACTGCTTATATGCCATCAGCCTCAAAACAATTTTTTAAAAATAAACGGGCTCACTGCTTTTCAAACACACATTTAGTGTTTCTGAGAAGAGTCAAATATGCGAACATAAGACAAAAGACACCCTCTGCAACCTCCTGCTTCATTCTCCTTGCACTACTATGTTTAACTTTAATTTTCTGTATCTGTAATCAATACTAAAGGTGTCTCAGGCTACGCATTGTTTGAGAACAACAGACAAGTGATCACCAGACTAGGCAGTACTGTTGTGTTCCCACTAAATTTAACTCCATTTGCCAGCTACCTGCAGACAGACAGTTATCTTTGTGAAGTCTGGTCAGATTGCAACTCTCTCCTTTGTCCAATGCTGAAAATGACACAGTGACGTATTGATTTCCTGCTAGCTTACCTGACAGCAGATATTAAAACAAGATCAGCACTACTCAAAACACGTACAAGCAAGTCACTGTGGAGAATACTAAATTTCAAATTAATAACTCCCTAGTTCCTCTGTCATATCTGTCCACATATACACATGCTTTGGTCTAGGACTAAATGAGATTTACATTGTTTTCATCGAAGAATAAGATACTTTGGACTACTTCACATTTATCATGGGATAGGATACACACATATGGAGTCACTCCTAGGTACTGAATATGCTGTAGGTTCCCAGCTGAGCTTGTCCCCATGATAATTTCTTCATTTGCCTGCAGGTCAATGCATAAGCATGAACTAGCTTGAGGTTTAAAAAAAAAAAATTAAATACAGTGAATACCACTGGACTGTGCACTGAATTAGGCGAGGTCAGCACTGTGTGTGCTAGCTGACTTGAAATGCTTGCCTTCTAGCACCTTTTTTTACTTTTTAATGTGTTTTTTTCACCTTTTTAAGAGTCTGGAGATAGCTCACAGGTATTACCCACTTGCCCATACACACACACAATTATTCTGAGCTGTTACAAGATTTTAAAATGCATTGGCTATTGCATCTGAAAAAGGAATAACACACTCTTGCCCTCTTCTACTTGACATATACAATTATAAGACTCACAATTCTTTTATGAAAATTTAAATAAAAAATGCCCATGTATGACATGCGATTTATAAACTTTGTTAAGTCCCTCCCACTGAATGTGATTTATCATGCTACACTCTCTAATATTAAATGCCGTCATTAGACAGGATCTCACATGGCTTCAGTCTCAGCACACTGACTTACCAAGGAAACTGCAAAATTAAATCCAACTCAAACACTGATTTCAGCACTGATGAAAGAAGCTGCCTCAACTGTGTTGGCCCCTATCCACAGCACGTGCACTGGCGATGCAGACTTCCTGCTTGGTGCTCAGCCAGTGTGCCTCAGCCTACGTTAGCAGGAACCATCTGTAGGGATGAAAGAAGAGTTCAACTTCCAAATTTACTTCCAACCTTGAGAGCAGCCAGGCTACTCTCCTGTCCAGGAACCACTAAATAATACAGTGTACAGTTTGCTGAACACGCAGTCTCTGTTAGGGGCAATCCCTATGTCCATGTGCTGCGTTTCTCATTTCCACTAGACAGTGTCTTGAACATTATTATCACAGACAAGGTTTAATGCTGGATAATAAGGCGACTCTTATGAGAACACTCCTAATGTACTAGCACCCTGGTTGGTCTCATACTGCTACACGGGTCTTAATAACAGTAACGGCTATAATTAGCTCTTCTACAGCACTTATCACCTACATATCTTAAGAAAAATTACTAAAAGTCAAGTGATATCACCCTATCTTAAAGACAGAGAAACTGAGGTATTGAAAGGGAGGTAATGATGAAATGTGAATGCCAAAAAAGTGAGACATAAAACCAGATCTCCTGTGTCCTAGCTGGGTGCTCCAGGCAACACAGTTGAAAAGCTCTATATCCCATTACCCATATACTGAGTCACTGAGTTCCCCCAGCAAGGATCTTATTTTTCATTATGGAGTGAAAAATAAAACAAGCCACAGGGCTCTAACTCCTCCTGCAAGCTGGAGACACACAGCCAGAAATTTCTACAGCAAACAACACAGTGAAAATGCAGCCTGACACAGAGCAACGTGGCAGTGGCAAGCAGCCTGTCTAGGTGCTAGAGTGGTTGTATCACTCATTATTCAGGGAGATGGAGGGAGTTGGAAACTTTACTTCAATGGCAAGAAAACAGGCTGGCTGCTGATTAATCCAAAATGCTTCTGTTGAGAGGAACGACCTCATGGTCACTGGCCTCCAAAAAAAAAAAAAAAAAGAAACTACCTTTTAGTTTCCACCACTGGTCAGTCAGGCCTTGGAGACAGGCTCAGTAACATACAGCTGGTCATTCCCAGCAACGTAATACAGTTCCAAAACTCAACTTGTTAATACTAAGAATTAAAGCAAATAGAGCAAATTAATTTCATATGGGGTTTTTTTTTGCCAGTATGTGAGACCAAGGCCTCAGCAGTCTCCTTTACAGAGAAATATATGTGCTGAACTCAAATTTATCTACCTTTCGGATCTCTACACTACCTCCTAGTTCTAAAAATAAGGTTCAAAAAGGTCAGCAAGCCAAAAGAAAGAAAACAGCAGGCCCTACTACTCTCCAGACAGCAAATGGCACCCAAGAAGATAAGGAAGAGAAATCTGGCGGTTTCTGTTTTTTTTAAGCGAGATGTCAAGACACCAAGAAACCATGAGAGAACCAGAGCAGAGCCCAAGCTGTTGGCCCCAGGGTCACAGCCAGATTACTTTGATCCATTTCAGATGCAGAGCCCTGCATTTCAGATGCAGGTACAGCCTCATGCTCTGGAGACACCTGCTGGCAAACCAAAAGTGGGTGAGAGGCAGGCTCTGGGCACATCTCCCCCTCCCACGTTCCCAGCACCCCCGAACAATGCCCCTGCACCCCTCACCTGTGGAGCACTGCCTGGGTGCTTCACTCAGCCACCCCCAGTCACAGCCAGCATGGAAAGGAGGACAGGGGACTGCTGTCCCACATGCCTGGGACCCAACCATCCTCTCCAAACCGTGGCACAGCACCTCATCCTGACCTGGGGGTAGCACTGAGAGGGGCCTCCCCACAGGGCACAACCAGCGCCTGGGCCTCACCTCACGCACACACCCAGCTGGTCCCTCGGAGGCAGAAGGGGCAGCTGCAGCAGCTCTAAGGACGGCTGTGCCCTGCTCCCAGCGCGGGGCTCCTCCCCACGCCTCAGCCCCTGCCACAGCCCCGCCACACACCCCGCACTGCTCGGAAGCCCCTTTCCGAAATGGCCGCCCCCCACCATGGCTGCCCCACAAGATGGCCGCCGCCGCCGCCACCCCTGACGGCCCTCAGTGCCGCCACGCATGTCCCGCACCACCCCGGCCCGCCCCGGCGGGGCGCAGAGAGGCAGAGACGAGTCCCCGAGGCGCCATGCTTTATTCTCAGGGGTGGAGAAGACAAGGAAGGGAGCTCGGGGGACGGGGCACTCAAGGGGAGGGGAGGGTGTTCACGGGCAGGCGGCCCGGCAGGGCCAGGCCAGGCAGCACTAGCAGGAGGTGAAGGTTTTCCAGAAGAAGTTTTTGCAGGGGGCTTTGCGGTCCCTCTGAGAGAGCTGGGCGAGTCGTCCCAGCACCGCCCGCTCCTCCTCCAGCTTGCCCTCCTCTTCCACGTCGGGGGAGGCCGCCTCGCGCCCCGCATCCACGCTGTCCAGCAGGCCCGCCAGCATCTTGAGGATGGCGTCTTTCCGGACTGTGCTCTGTTCCTGTGGGCAGAGACCAGGGGAAGGTGACGAACGGAGGCCACGTCCCCCACAGTCATCACGGCAGGGGGATGTTGCAGGGTGCAAACATCCCCCGTGGGGTCCCTTCTCCTTTCCCTGCCTGCCCTGGTGCCCTTTCCTCGGAGCCAATGTTTTTCCCATCAGCAGAGCTGTGCTGGAGCCAAGGAATCTGTGGCTGCAGAGGTCATTCCTCCCTTCTCCCGTCCCATATCCAGCTCAGCCAGCTGAACAGGGAGATGCACACGTGCCATGTTATAACTGGAAAAGAGCTGCTAACAAATAGGCATGAATTGGCTGTCAAGTCCCTTGCTGCCTGCACTAATTAAATTTCAGTGAATGCCAAGCTGCCTTCTCTTCTAGTAAGCCCCTGCTCCTGTCACCGCTCTGACTGCCTGGCATCCGCTGTGGGAAGGTCAGGGAAGAGGCAGAAAGTCCCATGCAACAGTAAATCAAGCACACCAGGGCTGTAACCCACTGTAAAATGCTGAGAATTAAATGCAACAAAGGAGAGGGCTGGGTTGGTGGGAAGAGAGACGTCCTAAGTATCTGGAGAAAATATTTAATTAGTAGAGATGGGCAGCTTGTATATCCAAAACTTGAACCCATGTTCAATAGCCTGACCTTGGGGGAAGGCAGAATGAAAGAGGAGTTGCTGAGCTCCATCCCTCTGCCATACCAGTATATGAAAGCCTGTGGTTTGGGGCTTGAGGGATTTTTTTCAGTAAGAAGCTGTGAGTTATCCTGTTTCTCTTAACTTTGCATCCAGTGAATCTGAGGAATTACCTCTTGCCTGAGCATTCCTGGTTTCTGCAACTCATCAGCAGAAGCAGCTGGTACTGGACAAGCTGGCAGAGATGGCTTGACAGGAACAGAACCTGTTTCCCATGAGGGTGGGAATCTTGGAAGTGCATTTCCACATCACTTCTCACAAATGCCGTGTTTAACTGCTGGGACTGCTGTATCTGCTGGCTCTGTCAGCACCAGTATTTGCTAAGGACCACTTGGTGAGCAACTCAAAAGATGGATAAATACAGGCAGCAGCAATTATTCTGAGTTTATGGATTTTTTTAAATCACTTTCATAGCTCTAGTAGTTAACCCTGCTTCCACGCAAGAGAAACAGAGGCACAGAAAAATTACATGCTATGTTTGTAGCAGAAGAAAAGATAAAAGGCAGTTTGTGCCTGTCCTGATTCCTACTCCTATACTGCAAGTAGAGAAATGACTTGAGCCTTTGGGAGATGGACTAGAACTGGGGAACCCAGCTGAACATGTCTCCTGGGTCATGTCTTCCTCATAAGCTTCTTTCCTAGCTGTAAACACTATGTTTTGAAATAACCTGCTCCAAGCAGAGCCAGCAGCTTCAGATTCAGGGGTAGGGAGGGCAAAACTCAGCCTGCTATTAGGGGACATTCCTTATGCGTGATCAGCTGTGGCTGTTAGTGAAACTTGGGAGCTCTTCCCCTCCACTAATCCATTGCTAAGACCCTTTCTGATTATAGCTGTTCCCGAACTCTGGCAGCAGCTAGAGATCTTAGCGCGGGTGGGTTGCAGCACATCTTTGGGTACCTGCTCAACTCCCTGTACTACATCCATCAGTGTGTCAGAATGCACAGATCTTTCTTTTGCATTGTTATGGATTTCATGGTGGTTTATATATAAAATCCCAGTATTCTTCATACTTAAAACATCTGTCTGAGTTACAGCAGTGGTGACTGTAGGGATTGGTTCATCAGTATCTAACAATTTTTGCCGTTTGTAGAATGCTCCAAAGAGAATCATTATAACTATTACATCATTATTTTGTAAGCAACAGTGTGTGGAAGACTAAGAGTCATTACATTTGAATTCATTTTTATCAAAGCCTTATTTAGCAATTTATTCCCTACAACTTGTTTCTTTTTTCCTAGCGTTTGCACCAGAAAGAGTTTGCTTTTTAAGTACTGGGTTTGTTATTGTAAGAATGTACAGCTGAAAGTTTACAGTTATCCCCAGAAGGGTTAATCCCAGCCAGCTGCAGAAGCCCTGATCTCTACAGAACGCTAGCCCTAGCACCTCACACTGCCTATGTTTCTTTCTTGCAGCCAGTTTTGTTGTTAATGGGATGTGAGCCCACTTCTGAAGCAGCAAGACACTGATGGATGGGCTGGAGCTAACGCTAAGACAGAAAAAACGATGTAGATACACAGAAAGGAGTAGTTCCTATGAAACCAACGTTGGGATCCTTCACATCTCTGGGTAGCTCCTCTGCAGGAGTGAAATAACAGCAGCCTTACGGATGCAGCTGTGAACCAGACTGGCAGAGTGCGGGGTGATGAACCAGGGCTCAGTGGAACATCAGGGATCGCAAGGAACATGCAGGTGAGACAACTGTGGGGCGAGGGCAAGCAGAACAGAGCACTTGCTTGTGATTTTGTTGTGCCATTGTTTCCTACCTCTTTGGCCTCTTAGGGTAATAGTCCAGCAAAACAAAGTTATTATAGCACTATAGCCATTACAGTATTAGAGTTTTGCAAGTTGGTAGGATAATTATATTGCTATAATAAGTTCTGCCACTGCATAGAGCTATGCTGGTTCAGAGTGTAATTATTCTAGCAGAACTATGTCAGTATAACTCCCCTTGTGAATACTACTGTGGAAAAAGCAATTTTATTCTGATATAATTACTTCATTTATTATTCCTCTGTTACTTTCCTACTGAACCCATCTTTTAAACATTTGTCCTTCCCATGAGTCCTATTTAAAATATCATCTCCCTTGATCATTTTACCAATTACGTATCTTTTCTCTCCCTCCCTAGTAGTCTGCTTTATTCTCTCATGCTGTACTCTTTCAGCAATATTATTTTCTCCTTTTCCTCCTCTCTGCTCTGTTCTTTTTGCCAGCTTTTGCTTAGCTCAGACTTCAGTTTTGCAGCTCTCTGGCATCTGCCCTGGTACCTTTCCTAAATAAAGTGACTAGTAAGCTGTAGCAATAGCCTGTGCTTCAGCAGGGCATGAAGCCGTAGTGCCTTGGAATATAGAGGGGTGGAAGAGTTGTTTGCATCAGGTAAAGCCTAATTGCCCTTATTACCCCTCCCCTGGCTCCAGCCTGCTTCTGCGTGCTCCCACCTCACCCAGCTGCTGCCCAGGGTGCATTATACTCACCCTAGTGCTCTGTATTGCAAGTCTCTCTTCTCCAGGCAGTGCAGTGGCTCTCACGCTCCACACCAGCAGCAGAACAGACACCAGGCTGGCCACCAGCTGCATGATGTACAGGCTGTGACTACTGTGCTGAATGAGGAAGACTGGGAGAGGGAGCTCTTTCTGGGCTCTCTTCTGCCTCAGACAATGGCTGCAGCCCCTTTTATAGCCCTCCCCCTAGCCCAGTGGGTGACGCAAACAATTAAGTCTATATCAAAGGCAAATTAGACTTTGGAGAGGTTGTTAACACTTGGCTGCTTGAGTGGGATACTTCAGTGCCTCTGGGCTTTCCATGTGCCAGACCTGCAGAGACTGAGGACGCAAAGATTTGGGACTCTCCAGTAACATGCTATTTCTTCACTCCGAGAAATTGTAGGCACTATCTGTGCCTCTCCTAGTTAGCTGAATTCTGCTTGGAAAACAATGTTGGAGAGAATAGGCCACCAGCTTGCACAGACTTATGGCCAATGCTGGATGATTCAGAGGGAAGAGGTAAAACTTCTGGCTACCAGTACCTAGATATGCACTTGAAGCCTCAGTCTGTGTGTCCAGACAGCTCCAGGCTCTAGGGATATTTGGATCTGGATCTCTGCATCCAGTGATGCATCTCACTGTGGAATGCCAATATGCCTGGCTTTCCGTTTGTGGTAACATGGGGACACAGGCTGCAGTAATATAATTTATCTTGCAAACGTACATAAGACTACCTGGAAGCAAATTGGAGGTCACTGGCTTTTGTTCTTAGTATTGTTTCAGTATGTCTTGAACCTATCCCAGAAGTACAGCTCAACATAGTGAATCCTGACTTGGAGATGCTGGGTTTAAATGTATTAAATGGAAACTAAAGTACTGAAAGGCTGGTCAGAGCTAGAGCTGCTCTTCTCAGCAAGGCTTCAGAAAAGGCTCATGGTATGCTGACACTGATGTAGGCTGCTTGGAGTAAGTTCCTAAGTTCCTACCACTTCTGATCTCTGGTTAGCAGTTAATAATGCTTCTTCCTTTGCCCAAAATGCTGTCCTACCAGTGCGATGGGTTTGTGGGCCAGCAGAAGGTGCTATTAAGCACTACTACCTGCTCTGCATTGTCCCCATTTTGCAGGGGTGGCATCCACTGTCACACACCTGTGAGATGCAGAGACAGAGCTAAGATCCCATCTCACCACTAGCCCTTTCTCCAGAAGAACTCACCTCAGGTCAGTCATCTTCTGACCCTAACAACAAACGACAGTCAAAAGGTAAATTGTTATCCATCCTAATTTAGCACATAAAATAAACGCACAGTGAGGTGACTTGGCCAAGGGGATGCCATGGCAGAACTAAGAACAGAAGGCAGAAAAACCTGTTCCTCACTTCTACCACTTACCAGCATTACAGTTCCTGGAAATAGCACGATGAAGCTTTGCCTGCAAATAATCCAGCTCCTAATGCCAGTTACACCACCCTGGATGCTCTTGAAGGAAAAGATGCCATCACTTCCATGCATATTTGAAAAGAAATGCTGGATTCCCTCCCTGAAAGCTAGAAAGAAAAAAATCTTTTCTGAGACATATGGACTTGTGGGGAAAGGTGACAATCTAGCAATTTCTAGTAATGAATTTTCCTCAGAAAACTTTGTAATGTCATTGTTTCTTCATGCTTCCCCCCTCCCCTCTTTGTGAGAGCTGGCTTTCACACACCACTTTCAGATGAAGCATTATCTGTTTCCTTTTAAACTGATCTCACTAGTTTATCAGAATTGCTGTTAGCCCTTTGTAATAGATTCTGTCAAACACTTCCCAGCCAGTCTGGGGCTCGAGACAGAGAGCAGTGAAGTACCAGGCTTCAGCAAGCAGACAAATCACAGGGACTTGCCAAATAACCCACAGCCAATTTGCTCCAGGAGAGGTAAAAGTGGGAGAATAGCAAATGGAGAAAGCGCATTTGGTTGCTCAAGGGGAACAAAGGGCAGGTACCTGTGAGTGTGAGATGTGCCTGGGCTGACAGGCAGGTGGGCGGTGAATCCCATACTGGTGGTTATGAGGCAGGACTGAACCTCGTGGGCCTACTAGCCCAAAAGCTAGACAGACAGCAGGAGCAGTGCAGCCAGGTCTCCATGCTGGGGCCCATCTGGTCTAACCAAACTGCTTGTTCTAATAAATATGGTTTTGTTTGCAGCTTTGCCTTCTGGATGAGCTGTTTTCTATAATGCTTCATTGAGCGAATGGGGTCATAAGTATGACAATGCTCTTCTACCAAAAATGGGATGATGTGCTGAGCCAGAGATCAGCTTCTAGGGAGGCCCACAGGGATGTAAACAGTGACCAGACTGCCGTGAATCTGTTCTGGGATTAAAGGGCAGTAATAAAATAATTGTTACCTCTTGAGGGGGCTGGCTTTGGAGAGCATTTCTGCCAGCACCAAACCTGTGGCCCTGTTGACAAGCACAGTGCAGCCAAAACCTGTACTTCTAGCTTGGGCAAGGCTGGATGTCTCTTCCAGCTGGGAGGGAGGGGAATAGGGACACATCAAAGCACTCATACTCTAGTGCACGCAGTGGGACTGGATCTCCAAATCCAGACAAGTTCCTTCTGGGCTCTGCTACAGTATCTCTCAATATCAGACATCTCTTTTACAGATTCCTTCATCTTCCCTAGCGCCCTTCCCTTTCCTTAATTGTCTCTGCTTAATTATCTACATTAGTCTGTCCTCTCAAGCTCTGGTCTTCTGCCCCCTTTGCAGAGAACCTGCTGGTTCTGCTACTACTACTGCTGACCACCTCCCCATCATAGGCTACAGCACCATCTCCTTTTCCAAAGGAAGTAAAATAACTCTGTGGTGACAAAATTTTCTCTTTTTAGTAACTGGGAGTTCAACGTATAGGAACAGGATTGTTCTTCATTCCTACTGTTCCATATTCCCTGTCTCATTGGCTGGCTGACCTTTAAGAAGGCCCCAGTTATTTTTTTTATCAACCCTTTAATGCTTGTCACTCTGTACAGGAAAGGCTAAAAGGTCATGCCTTGGAGGAATAAACATTTCTGACAATTCTTTCCTTGATTTCTTCTTGACACTTTCTCTCTCTGTTATCTGACTCACCCGGTTAAGAAGTCTTCTTCCTCGACACTCTCTTCTGTCTGGAGTTGCACATGGTCTGAGTGGGTTTCTACCACTTTACAGTGAGGGTAGATCTATCTGAAACCAGCATGCCCATCAACACATCCTGGGGAGCCTTGTAAGGGTGGGGATGCTCCAGAAGGAAGTTCAGCATACAGTAACTTGAAAAGGCTTGGCTATCCAAGGATTTTGTCTCACAGCTTGGCTTCAGCGGAGATGCAGTGGCTTCAGAAGAACAGCAGAATACGCTTCTGCAGTCAGACAACCTCCACCTCTTTTTGATTAAGGGTGCACAAGCAATATGCAATGGAAGAGGTTTTATCTTTCAAGAAAGAGGTTCCTGAACTCTCCTTAGTGCATCTGTACAGCAGCGAAGACTGGGCATTGCAGGAATACAACAGCTAAGACTATGTCTGGCACCAAATGCCACACTAAGGAATGAGATAATTTCTCAATTGCTTTCCTCTATGGCCTGGACATTTGGCATCTGCTGCCATTTGTTGCCTGATCTGGGTTCAGATCACCGTGTCCTGAAGCACGTAGCAGAATTGCATCAGGCTTCCAGAACAAAGTCTGTTTCCCAAAGGTGAGGCACTCAGCTGCAGCCGAAGGAAGGGTTCAAATGCTTCTGCTTTCCTGTCATTGGAACCCTTTCTCTCTGCCCTCAAGAGTCCCTAGTTGCAAAGGCCAGTGCAATAAATAAAGCAACAGTCAGCTGACAGTTGTGAGCCTTCCTGGAAGAGGAAGCCAATTTGTTCATGGGCCTGAAATCACAGCTCATTTATCAGGGCAGGCTTGCAGTATCCCCTTGCACTGCACTCCCCAGGGGCTTCCAAGGAGCATGCAGGTGGCCGTTCCAGCCACAGCTTTTCATCGGCACTAATCTAACAACCCCAAGGAAGAAACTGCCTGAGCGTGGGCTGGAGCCTACTGCTCCCACTCATCTCTGATAAGAGCTGCAGAGCAGGTGCAGGGAGGAGGAGGAGGGGAGTACCGCAGGGACGATGCTGTCAGAGCACGCACGACTACAAGCCTGTTGCAGCTCTCCGGGGAGGCGGAGCAGGGGGAGTTGTGCTGCCTCCTCTGTCTGTCAACCTCAAAGGGACTGCTGGAGGATGAGGGGAGGGTGAGCGAAACGCTCCTGTGGTATGCTCAAAACCTCTTGTTATTTCAAAATGCATGCAAAGTTAAACAATTCAGGTGCTCCACCAAAAATCTTCCTCAAAAATAACTACTTTCTGTGAAACACTTCTCTTTCAAAATACCTTATTTTCCACTGAAAATGTTTTGCCTGGCTCCAAGTAGGAGGCATTTCTGGCTGTGAAGCAGGCTGAGGATGCTTTGGGTCACCACCTGCTGACATATAAACTGACCTCTGTCACACCAGACTTGTCCTGCTGGTGGCAAGATTGGCTGGACGAGACTCAGACAGAAACATTTCTTTACCATTTAGATTTCCTGAGGGATTGTGCACGCACCGTGCCTTGTGGGGATTCAGTCAGCAAGAGCTCACCAGGGACGTTAACACGTGGGACTGTGAGACTGCCAGCACGGCAGGAGGGACCACTCGGCTGGGAGAGCTTTAAACAGGAATTCACGCGCTCCAGATCGTGTGGGGTTCAGGTTACTCCCCTCCTACAGCTGAAGGGGGATGAAAAACATGCGGGGTCATTGCATACATCATCTTGCCCTTAAGCTCAGCACGCAGAATTAGCTTTGTTAAGCAAAGCCCTTCCCAGAGGTGCCCGGCCATGGGCTGCTGCTGCAGCCGTTCAGTACCAAGGAGAGGGCAGCCCCTCCCGCGGGGTCCCCCCCGGGCCCCCCCCTCGTGCTCTGAACCCCGAGTCACAGAGCTGGCGGCCTCGAAAGGCCTGTGGCTGCAATCCCTAATATTCATGATGATTCCCCCCCGCCCTTATCTGCCTCACACATCACTGTGCTATAATTGAGATTCCCTGGCTCTAATTCCCCAACTTTTTCATGTTTTAAAAGCACTTCATCTCCTGTAAGAGACCAGGAAAGAGCATTACCCAGACTTCTCAGTATTTAACTTGGTTACATCTCTCATCTTACTTTTTAACAACATTTTGTCAGACTTCTGCTAGACCTGAGCTGTTGTTTCACGCTTTTGTCCACACTTTTCACTCTTCTTCCCCCCACCGGTTTGTTAAAGGAACTTTCCTCTCCTTGAACTTGGTGGCCCTTGTTATTACTTTTTTGACTCTTTGTTTACTTAGGCTGCTGTTCTCTCATGAAAGATGAATTGTCATTCCTCCTTTAGTAGTTTCTTGCTCCAACCAAGCTCCATCAATAATTCAGCCAGGCCTTGTTAACATTAGCTCTGGATGAATATGACACTCATGCCAATTAACTAGATGAAAGGCCTCAAGAAGTACAGGCAAGAGATTCCTCTTAATATTTTTAAGCTCTTTTCTGAACTTTTAAAAATTGAGTTAGTTCAATGAGTAAAGAACAGAGTAGGGAGTCTGACACAGTTCAAAAGGCGCCAAGAGGCTTAAGCAATTGATGTACTGAAGCCCATCAGGCTCTGTTCCCTTGCTTGTCTCCACCTGCTCTGATATTACATTGTATGTTACTTAGGACAAAGCCTAACCCTGTTCATATGCTCCTAGCTTAATAAGATGCTGGAACACGGCTGCAGCATGTCTAGACAAACAACATCTTTATGGATCTTTGTTTATGAACAGCCTTGCTTGACTAGCCTTGGGCAAAAGCTAGCTAAATGTCAGAAAGTTACTCAAGTATTTTAGCTGCCCACCTGGAGACACTGCAGATTGCCTTCAAGTGTTCCGTGCTCAATTCTATACAAGGCTCCACTAGTTTGCTCCTGTTGGGCATTACTCAAATCACCAGTCTCTTTTCAGTCCCTGGTGTCCTTGGCCACAGCAGCCTGCAGCATAACACCTCAGACCTCACACATTTGGTGAAGGGAGAATCAATCTGCAGGAACAATTGCCTGAGACGACTGCCATACCATTCTAGCAACTTAAAGGGCAAGACCTTGTGGCAGCTCTTGGCACAGGGGTGATGTTAAAATTCATAAAGTGCTCGGAGCTGCTCAGAAGGAACTAGCTCTAGATGCACAAACTCTTGCTGCATTGCTAATGAGCGCTTGATTCAGGCACTGATCTCTGTCTTCAACTATTGCAAGGCACGAAGTATTTGAAACTGCCTATAAAGAACAGTGATTTGGAGTGACTCAGAAACTATATATAGGACCCTATGGACAGAGTATGTGTGACTTAGATGGCAAACAGCCTCATCTTCCTACTCTCATCACTGGCCACTCACTGAATTTACTGAATTTACAGTAACACTGAAATTACTGAATTGGAGAGTGCTCAGAGAAACAGAAGCAATAATTAGGTGCATGGAAGCTAGTAACAGGTTAGAGGAAGCTCTTTTCCTCCCGGGCATTGTTGTACTCACCAAGGGTGGGTGGAAGGCTTGAACTTGCTACTAGTTGGCAGCTGCTCTAAGGCCTTCCTGAACTACAGTCCTTGTCTTGATTCCCATTTTGGGGGAGAGAAAATACCAGGGGTAATCTTCCGTCGAGGATGAGGGGCTGAATGGGGTTCAGGTCCCACACCAAATTAAAGAGGGGTAGCTAGAACCAGCCTCCATTACTGGTTTGTATTTTTACTGTAAAGAGGAGAACTTGAGCAATGAAAATGCCTCACTAGCCCTAACTAATCAGTAGCTGTGGGAGAAAACAGCTACCCAGACAATTAAGAGACAAAAGGGGTGTAATCTTCTCAACACAAGAATACAGAGGAGATTCAGACTCAGCTCTGCAGCTTAATAATGCTTTGCAAGCCCTTATGATCCCAAAGAAGTGGTACTGATACTGGTAGTAGAAGGGGGCATTGGGAAAGTAGTAAGTCTCATCAGAAAGAGGAGAAAGGAGGGTTGGTACCATCACCACAGAAGCCCCTTGCTGTAGGCACCCAGTGGCTGCACCACCTATGCTGTTTGTAGGATGCTATGGTAAAGCTCAACCCCAACTGTTGCAAAAGTCTGCTCCTTCTAGTTTTCTCTTATCAAGCCAAAAAGCCTCCCTCAGCAGCTTTTCCGTCTTCTCTTGATGCCACCTAGCGACTGTTCCCAGCCTGTTCACCTGGAGCTCAGTACTCGGTTCAGGCTCTCAGAGCCACTAAGGAAAGGATGGTGCAATGGAGTGGGGCCACTGACAGGAATTACATGATGCTAGCAGGGACGTGGGTAGCTAGAAACAGCCTGGAAAGCTGTACCAGAGGCAGTATTTGGACTAGAGAATAGTTTGGATAGAGGGTGCTGATTTCTGCAGCATGGAGGATGGCAGAAGCTGGAGCCTTTAGGCAGTCAGGTCACAACACAAAACATGCACTCTTCAGAGCTTATTTTTGATCGTAACTTGTCAACCCTAGAGACAAGGGAGAGAGGAGGCCAGACCAACTACAGAGCGCCCCTGGATGTCTTCTGACAAGCACAGCAAACTTTCAGGATCTCTTCTTTCCACCCCACGCTCTCCCCAAAGAAACACACAGACCCACACCGATGTCACCTTAACCAGAGCCGAGTGTTTAATTGATTGCAAGGGAGTGACAGCCGCAGAGTGGTTGTGCTGGGAAGATACCCACTGCGCAGCGGTGGTACGGAGTCTTTAAAACAGAAGTGGAGGCAGATCCGTCTCGTAACAGAGTGCAACAAAAAACAACTTCTGCATCTGGGGATTCTGAGGGCAGCATTAGAAATAATGCTGCCTCCTAAGGACTAGCAAATACCCAGGCCTGAGGCATCCCAGCATGACTGAGATGAGAGATTTGTCAGCACAACTGACTCCCTAACATCAGTACTTAACAGCAGGCAATGGATCTAAGGTTTGTTTTTTATATATATATATTTATATTTATATATATAAAGCGCCTATCACCATATTGATAAACATTCTTTGGAACCACTCTGATAGCAGAGGTAAGAACAGGAGTCAGCCTGTTAGTACCTCAGCACTTCTGTTTCCAACCAATTTAAAAAAAATAAAATAAAAGCCACAAGACTTTGCTGCCAGCCTGCCTGGCTGGTGTTTAATACTGCTACTCCATCAGGGTTGGAAGGAGACCTATTGTGAATGGCAACAGTTTGCACTGTGGCTTCTCCAGCTGTGCTGCAGAACAGTGCAGGTGTCGCAGAAGGGCAGTGGGACATGAAGGCTCAGACCCGTTACCAGTCAAAATGTCTCAGCAGCAGGGAGCTCCTATTAGGAGAGAGCAAGCTAACTCTGCGCACAAAGCTGTCGCTCTCTGTGCTTAAGGCTGAGTCAGTGACCCTTCTGGACTCTTCCCAGGTTTCAGAAGATCACCAGACAGAAATACGTGTCAGTTATAAATATATCACGTCAGCTGTGGGGAGTGGAGGTGGGCACAGGGAGGGGAAAATTTAGAATGGATGCAGGGATGAGAGAAAGGAAAAAGACATCTTACGTTTCCAGCACTGGAAAGAACAGTTTTGACCTCACGCAATAAGTCACTGGACCTTTTCAATAGTCTTATCTGGCTTATGCCCCATCATCTTTAACACATCATCAAAGGGAGTGTTGGCTGGCAAAGGGTTAAACAATCCCACACAGTGGAGAACAAATCTGCAGTCTGCTGGGAAGGTCCCAACCACATCACTGACGATCTCAGGGTCCAACTTGAAGGAAGGAAGCAGCTTCTCAGTCTCACACATCGCTCAGGGCCTGGAGACAGCCAAGGACAAAAAGGTGTCAGGACGGCTCTGCCAGTCCTCACAGAAACACGGCTCTGAAGCACACCCACAGTGTCCGCCTTCATCCCTACAACACTCTAAGAGATTTTTTTCTGCAATCTGCAGTTGCAACCCAGTTAGGAGATGACAGAATGATGCTGAAATACAAACTACCCTTCAAGAAGGCAGACTGCACTACACTAGAGCATCCTTTCTTCAGCCTCCGGTTTACACTGGAAACAGCAATAACATTTTATCTAAGACTTGGAGCTTTCCTGTGGGAAACACCAGTTCTGCAGGCTCTTGGACTTAGCTTTGGTAGGTGAAGTAGGACTGATTTTCCATGAAGGCACAGGACATCAACTCAGTGTTCCAAACTGAACTCCAGCCCTCCCAGACTGACTCAAGCTCTGCTATGTCATACAAAACTCTTGTCCCGCTCTGACTTGCCCACAAAAGCCTTTAGGGCTGCAGGAAATCCTCAGCACTGTGTACTCCTACTCCTGCCAAAGAAAAGTCATCCCTCATCCTTGATGAACAGCAGCACAGGCTTGCTTACCTTCCGTGCAAACTCTGGCAGAATGAAAGCTGCCCGATGAATGTCTGAGTTGTAGTATTTCAGACTCCTCTCCTCTACTTGTTGCTGTGAGAGCTGCTGCACAGGCTCCCGGAAATTTGTGTTCTGCAAAAAAGAAGTTAGGTAGCTCTGTAGCGTTTGGGTAACGAGCAAAAGGCTGTGTGACAGGCATCCTGATTCACGGCAGAGAACCAAGAGGACCCGCAGGAAAACAGATGACTTTCTGTTCTAGTATGAGGCCAAAGGTCCTGCGCAGCTCCAGCCTCAAGGGCCGGTGTTTACACGCCGCACCTCGCGTGACTGGCCCTTATTCACAGATGTCAGCACATGAGGTCAGACAGCGTGTGAGCCATGTGCCAGATGAAGCTGTCAGATTGTGCCCGAGCATCTAAGCAGCAAGGCTTTTGCTCTTCTGAGCAGAATCCACATCTGCGTTAAGTCAGGCACAGTGCATGCTGCCAGTGCCCCAGATAAATCAAATACAGCAGCTCAAGTGCCACTAAACCAACGCAACGGTTGCGTTATGGGCTTGCTGGAATGCAGCAGATGGGGAAGAGAGCAGATCCCAGTGGCCTGACATGGAGTTACCAGCCCACATCCTAACACTGACTCTCGCTTGGAGGCCTCTCTACAAGCAGATCACCAGTCACAAGCTGATTCTTATCAAGTAGGTGCCCACTTTATAACAGCCAGCATCAATAAGCCAAAGCCTTAACAGGCTCTGGAAACTGGAAGTGGCTTCCTCCCTTCCAAGTTTGTTGTACTAGAGAGAAAATCGTGTCCTTTCCTAAGGCAAGTAGTTATGTTACTGGTCAATTCTGCAATTCATTCAGCACTGAGCATGCTGCATTGTAGAGCTGGGGCCCTGGGCTGGCAGAGCTGGGGCCCAGCACGAGTCTAGAGGCCCCACAGCTGGGAGAGCTCAGTGCCACAGCTCCAGCTCTGTCAGGGACAGCCTGAGGCAGGCTCTGTGGGTGCTTGCAGGGAGTGGAAAAGGGCACTTGAGGTGCCTGAAACTCACCGGGTTCTTGCTGCAGAGCATGAAGCCAATCTGCCCGCTGGGATATGTGGGGATGGTGCAATAGGCGTATTCCACAACAGGGAACAGAGACTTGCAGAACTGACGCATCTCCTTAATGAGATCCAGGTGCAGCCACTGGCACTCACCTACAGGGAGAAAGGAAGACGGGATGCGAGGTGAGAGCTGCCCCTCTTCTCTGCACAGGCCTGTGCCAGGTTAAGCGTGGTTCCAAGTCCAAACCTGCTCTGCACAGCTCATGCAGTTTCCAAGGCAAGATAAGACCCTTACGCCAGTTTTACTAAGCACAGTCCAGCAGCTAACGAGCTGACATACACAGATCAAAACTGCTCCTGTACCTGGGAGCTGAAATGGATTTCACCCCTGATGTCATGTCTCCCCAGGAAGAGTCCCCTTTGCACCTCTCGCTTTGCATGCAATGATCTGGGATCAGCCTCTACCCAGAAACAGCATCCTCACCTTGGCAGCAAAGAATCCCATCTTCTCGCAGGGCTGTCTTCATCAGCTGGTAATAAGATTCTTTGAATAAGCTTTCTGCAGGACCTGGGAGAAAAGTGAGTAGAGAGATACATCTAAACAGAGAATGAGACAGTAGGCTTCTCAGAGTTTTCTAAATACCCAAGCTGCACAGGAGCTGCACTGGAAAAAGAGACCTTTCAAATGGCTTTTCTGTGATCACAAGCTTTGGAGATAATCTGTCTGGAAGCAAAAAGTTTTGACCCTGGATGAACCCCAGCCTGCACCTTGCACAGTAAAACCTTCAGGATTTTAGCTTTGCTCAAGAGCAAGCCCGGGACCTTTATCAAAAAAAGTCGTCACAGCTGCCTCTTGCTTCAGTGAGCATTTTTCAAACTGAACTCCTGCTCTGAACTGCCTTTTAGAGATGCCTGCCTCTGTGTTATAGAAGTAAAGGTGACTCAGGCACTCATCATTAGGTCCCTAAAATCTGGTCCCCCTCTACCCCTGTTTTCCCCTTCAGAAATACAGCAACCTCACTATGGCCCTTTTAGGCTAGGTAGCCACACCTACGGCACATGAGCCCCTGCTTCATTAGCAGACACATGTGCAAAGCTGCCTCTGCCAGCATGGTGCTGTATCCCCCATGGGATTGCTTGACTCAAGGATCAACCCTTTGCCAGAAGCAATAGCTGCTGGAGTTGAATTTTGAGGAGAGAAACATGACAGCTGGCTTGAAGCCTTGCTAATACAATTTTCTGGTCTCCATCCTTCCCTTTCTCTACCAAAGAAACCAAGTCAGTGACAGTCTTTTCACTTGAAAGGAGCCTAGGCAGGCTGGTATTACTTCCAAGAGGTAGGCAGAAGAGAAAAGGAAGAGGAGTGTAGAAAGCAGTGTCCTTTTATGGCCAGAATTCTTACCCATGGGGTCAGACGAGTCCGTGATAATCACATCAAAAGCTTCTTGATTTTGTTTCATGAACTCAAAACCATCTCCCACATGCAAGGTCAGCTTAGCGCTGGAATATCCCACTGCCATCCCTGGGAGATATTTCTTAGATACCTGGATCACATCCTGCAACACAGAGAGCACAAGTGGGTCAGCGGGGGCTACGAGGAGCTACTTCTCACGCTACTGTGCAGCTGCAGCTGAAGGAACAGCGCAATGAGTCATCTCCTTCCATGCCTTCAGCACAAATCCGACTTGCTAGTAGATCCTCAAGAGCTGTCAGCATCTTTAGCCAACGAGCTACGTTCAGCCCTTTCCTAGGGCCTCAGGGTTCAGTGACACTGTTGGTCTGTCCTTGCCAAATTCAACAAGAACAACTTTGAGCTTCAAAAGCTCCCCGAGGAACTAAGAGAACACAATTACAGATCTGACTGCTCTATGCTCCTTCCTTTTCCCTGTAGACATCACTTGTAGAGGTGATCTCAACTGAAGACTTTTGCTTTTTTTTCTTCCTAAATAAAACCACGCCAGGTTTCTGGATGGAAGGTGAGAAATATCCTCACCTCTGCTCTACAGTAATTATATCAATCCCCCCATAACATAAGGTTTTCTCTGTAAAATGGTTAGAGAGCCACTGCCCTAGGCCCGGCAATTGTACTGAACACTACCAGCTTCTCACAGCTGGCAGAGACAAAAAAATATGCTGGTGTCAGGCAGTGCTTGTTCAAAACCAGGCACATATGCCTACTTAGCTTGGCAGACAGAGTATGCAGCCTCATACAGCAGCACTTCCAGTTCCTAACACAGCCTTGCTTTGAGAAGAGAGCTCGACCGCCCGCAAGTGACCCACAACGTCGGGGGAGGAAAAAAAAAAAAAAATCATCAAAAAAATAAATTAAAAAAAAAAAAGAAATCCCCGTGGGGATGTTCGCAAGGCCAGACGGTACGAAAGCCGATTCCCTGCTAAGTGTGCGTGTGCCCCGGAGCGCACACGCGGAAGCGTCACAGAACGTGGGGCGCGCTGCCCCGGGGCGGGGGGGGGCAGAGTTCGGGACCCGCTCACCCAGGTTCCAGCGGGCGTTCTCCGACCAGGCTGCGCAGAGATCGTCCTCAGCTGCTGCACGACGGCACAACACCCTCGGGCTACTGGATTCTAGTGCTGCAGCTTCATCCACTCGCAGGTGCGGCCAGGTGAATAAAGCAGGGATGGATTTGCTAGTCACTTACGCCGTTAAAGGCATTTTTAAAAGCGATGGCAGTAAGCCACGATCTCGAGGAAAACAGGAAAAAAACTAAAATTAACCTCATCCTCGAAATGTCACCTTGCGTGGAATTTTTAAGTTAAAGTGCAGAAATTTTAATATCTCTGCAGTGGGGCTTTTGGTAAAGCTGAGTCGTTCTTTGAGTTACAGAAATACCAGAAGAGAGGGGGAATTGGCAGCCCCTGCAAAGGCACTTAGAGACAATTGCTATTTAACTGCCTTTTTTCAAAAACATTCTCCGATATTCAGCCATGCAAGCAGATTTTATGAGCAGAAAGGGAGTCTGTTCTACCATTACAATGCTGCTCAGTGGGCACTGTTCACTAAGATACCTAAGGAGGAAAACCCCTCCTCTGTTCCTTCCACTCGGCGCTCCCCAGAAATATGGGAAAAGACTGAAAAGAAATAAAATACCAAACCTCCTCATAGTCTTTGTAAAATAAAGCACTCGGGTTCGGAATGGAGAGGGAAGTTTTTAACCATTACCCACTCAGTCCTTGCACCTAGCTTACCACTCAGAGAAGTCAATGCTGTCACTGCCAAAGCAGGTGAGCATGGAAGTCAGAACTCAGAGTGAAGACAAGGCCTTTGGGAAGAGGAGCAAGATCAATTTGTCAGCACAGTGACTGGCAATTCAGGAAGCACTCTACCACTGATTTATGTGGTAAATGTGGTTAATATCACCTCAGCCCTACCCTTCAGTACTCCCAACTGCCAGACTGTAACATTGCTTACCTCTCTCACAGCAGCATTACCAGCCTTCAGTTGTCAGCATTTAGAATAAACTCATCCATCCATCCATCCATCCATCCATCCATCCATCCATCCAATTATGGGCTGATACTCTCTACAAAGACTTCAGGATAACTCGCTGAGGGTATGTAAAACTTTGAAGTGTTAGTACAGCTGCACTGAGACTCAGCTGCAGCACAGAACCTCACTAGCTTTCCCCAACCCAATATTGCACCTTTTATTTTTTTTTACCTTCTACCTAAATGCTATCGCTTTCACTCTGTAACTTTATGGTGAAACTACTAGTCTCTGATCCAAAAAGTACCCTAAATAAAAAATAAAATCTTTGCTTAAAAATACACAAACACTGCCAGGTAAACACACTCAGTTTTCCTACTATCTTGTCTTCTAAGAGATGAGCTGTGCAGTTCAAACATAAAAGACTGTCTGGCCTTATTTCCTCCTCTGTGCTGCTGGGTTCTGAGTCATATCTACTGAATCTATGAGTTTTGTGCCGGCTTCAGAGGTGCCAGGTCCCTCTCACAGTTCACCAACATGCTGGTTCTGGACTTCAAGCAACTCCAAGAAGCGACAAGTTTAGTCTAACTGTGCCTGGGGACACAGGATAAACTTTCAAAATTAGAAACAAAGCAACATTGTGAGTAGAATTAGAAAAAACCCAATGTGAATATAATAAAAGTGACATCAATTAAGATTTTTTTCCTTTTGGAATAAAAGGATTTTAATGGGTTTAAAAACATTTTCTGTACAAAAACTTCTCGATGGCTGGTATTTGCCTTCCTATGGTGACAATACTTCTGACTATTGTTTCGTTCAGCAGCAACTCCCACAGGTCCTGTAACAAGGACTATCTCTTTGGCCAGTGGTGCCTGGAACCCCTGCAAAAGACAGTTACAGAAAGACTTTTAACTCTTGCTCCAAGGTCACTCAAGATTGAAAACCTACCATAGGTTACAATTCTATTCAGAGAGTCATGATGCAGACAGAACCCTTCTCCCTGCAATGCTGCCCTTAGGTAGTGTTCCACTTTTATAACTACCCGAGGATCACGCCTCGTAAACACTATCTATTCAGAACAAGAGTGTTCATATTTGGCAGTAGTTACTTATCTTCCTCCCAAGCTAGGCAAGTGTTCTCCCCACCTCTACCTATCTTTATGGCCAAAGAAAGCGACTCCCACATCTGTTAACACAAACATTTACCTCAGCATTTCAAACCTTCCACCCAGATTTGTCTTTGATTGCATTAATCCTGACCAAGCTTTTTTTTTAATTTTTTTTTTTCTTTAAACTGACGTCAAGCTGTGATACAACCTCTTCCCATTAAACATGTGCTTAAGCTCCCACAGCAATAGAGGACAATAGCCCAGAGCTTTGCCCATAGCTCGGAGGCACAGGCGTGAAAATACTTCACCACTGTGATGAGAGCAGGCTGACAACACACCTATCAGCTTTCCCAGCCAGGTAGGACATGCTTCTGTTTCCAGATTGTTGAAGTCTGTTAGCTCCAGCAAATTTCTGCACAGGAAAAAAAAAAAAGCACACACCACCATCACCACATTCAGGTACCTGCCAAATACAGTGTATTCCACTAGATTCATGTGCTGTCAGGTCCCTCTAACTTCAAGGAACACTGCCTGTTTACAGTGTGAGCTTTATGTTTCAGGTTTTCTTTATATGCGTGTGCACTGAATGCATCTGAGTAAGTGCTGTTCCACTGCTCTGACCTTGACATGTGAGGCACAAAACCCCACTGATGACAAATCTTACCCATCTAGACAGAAAGACCTGTACAGGTTGTCCCAAATTCACCAGGTTCTTTTTTTCCCTCCCCAAACAAGTTTCAACTGACACAGCAAAGGGATTGCACAGCAAATTGTCTCCTACACTATCAGGCATAAACTTGTTCAGCTTCTGAAATATGATTTTTAATGAGTATCTAAGATGCTCTCTGGTACCATTTGCCCTCCAGTTAAATATGCAGGAAAGCAGCACGTGCAGGAAAGAGGCTAAAATGCAAGAAATGAGCTTCAGAACTTAAAAAAATTAACTCTCGAGTGCCCGAGTTCATGCATGGGCACCCTATTACTTCATGCCTGAAGGCCAACTGACGTCACACATCAGTACCCAAACGCTCCACACACGAGCACTATGCAGGGTACACACGGGGGCGGGGGTGTGTGTGTTTAGGTTAACCCAGGTCTGCAGGGGTCACCTAGGGTGGGGTGGGGGGCGATGACACAGGAACTGCCCTGTTTTGGTCACAGGTTTCCTTAAGTATGTGTTTGATTATGTTTTCTTTCTTTAATCTCTCAGTCTCAATTAGCAATTAAGTAAGTAAAAATTCTCTGAGCTGAGACTGCTTTCCTAATGACAGTACTTGGTGGAGAATGTGGGCAACACCCACAGAATTGACTGGCCTGGAATAACTGGACTGACCTGGAGATTTTTTGAGAGTGCTTTGAATTTGGTATTGGGAATTTGTGGTGTTGGGCTGTGGTATAAGTGTCACACCTGTGATGTATGGAGGCGTAGGTGTGAACAATATGTGAAGGGTGGGAAATAGCAAGAGAGTCTGAGGGGCCCCCCCAAGGAAGCTCTTCCTGAATGGGAAGAGGCTAGAATATGAAGTACAAGCTTGTGACTGGAAGCTGCACCTCAGTACCAAGTGGTATTAGGGGACATTCTGCAGATCCAGAAAAAGTCATCTGCCTTCCCCAGTGAGACCCCAGCTATCATCAACAATTCTGCTCCTTTTTTCATGACATGCCTGTACCTTGCCTGCATAAGCTTGCTTGGCAGGATCAAACTGTGGCGACTGTTTCGATTTGCTGCTTCCTAGGAGAGAGAGGAGAAGCTGTCAGTAAAATTTTCCATAAAGGACAGTGTGTTCCACAGTGTTCCTGATAAGGAGGTTTCACTGCAGTCTCCCACATGCTAAAATAAAAACCACAACAGTCCCTTAAGGGCAGGAGATGCTTTTGAATAGATACTTGTTACAAAGGAGTCAAATCTCCTCTGCCTCCCAGTTCCTGGGGTTCAATTAAACAGATGACTTGCTCTACAGAGAAAAGAAGCAAAATCCGAGCCCACAATCCCCTTAGCCACTGATTTCAGGATTTTGTTTCCAAATC